AGCACGTAATCACAGACAATGGAACACAATTCGAGTCCAAGCCCTTTAATGACTTTCTCGAGAGTTGGGGGATCAAGCACAGTTATGCGTCGGTTGGGTACCCGCAGACAAACGGGCAGGTCGAGAACGCCAACCGAACGATAGTCGATGGGCTGAAGCGAAAGTTGGAAGCTTGTGGAGGGGAGTGGGCAGAGGAGTTTCCCTATATCTTATGGACCTACCGGACCACGCCCCGAAGGGCAACTGGGGAAACTCCTTTCGCTTGATGCTACGGATTCGAGGCAAGGGCACCCACAGAGATCTCCATCGCAACCCACCGGGAAGAGGTCTTTGAACCCGAGCGCAATGAGGAAGCCCTGGCAGCCGAGCTCCACCTCGTGCATGAAAAACGAGAAGCGGCCTTCATACGGGCTGAGAATTACCGAAGGAAGGTGAAGAGCTACCATGATGGGCGCGTGCGCGCGCGGGGGTTCGTTGAAGGAGATTGGGTGCTGCGCAAGAGGGCAGTGAGTCGCCCCCTAGAAGGAGGAAAGTTCGCCAAAAATTACAAAGGCCCATACATCATCAAAGAAGTGGTGGGACCTTCGACATTCCGCCTGCAGACGCCGAGCGGAGGGGACGTGCCCAGAACGTGGAATGCCGAGAACTTAGTTAAGTTTTATCAGTAGACTTCTGATGTACACAGACCCCAAAATGGGAACCCGCAGATCTTTTCAGTTGAACTCAATGGAATGAAGTTTTTTTTTTTTGCGAAAAGAGCTTGCTTGAACACACGTGCTCGGCGCTCCTCCTCAGGAGGAAGGCCGAGCGCAGACCATACCCGGATGTTTTTCCCGGATGAGGGTCAAACACTCGTGCTCGGCGCTCCTCCCCAGGAGGAAGGCCGAGCGCAGACCATACCCAAATGTTCTTCCCGGATGAAGGTCAAACGCTCGTGCTCGGCCCTCCTCCTCAGGAGGAAGACCGAGCGCAGACCTTACCCGGATGTTCTTCCCGGATGAAGGTCAAACACTCGTGCTCGGCGCTCCTCCTCAGGAGGAAGACCGAGCGCAAACCATAACCGGATGTTCTTCCCGGACGAAGGTCAAACACTCGTTCTCGGCGCTCCTCCTAAGGATGAAGGTCGAGCGCAGACCATACCCGGATGTTCTTCCCGGATGGAGGTCAAACACTCGCGCTTGGCGCTCCTCTTTGGGGAGGGAAGTCAAGCGCAGGCCATACCCGGATGTTCTTCCCGGACGAAGGTCAAA